CCCATCCCCAGGTGGCACCTGCGTCTCGCTAGGATCTCAGTCTCGTGTCAGAGCGTACTGGGAGCGTGGTCTTTATTATTTTAGAGATGCAAAGAGCCTAAACCTCAGGCCTCCCCGTGTGGTGCAGCAAACCCGGACAGTTACCACTCTAAATGGACATTAAAAACAATCATGTAAATTCCGAAAGGAAGCATCAGAATTTCTCGCAACAAAGAAGAGCAGAGATCTTGTGTGAGGGATGATAATAAAAAGAATCCAACGAGCAAGTGAAATTAGCTGGAAGCCTCCCCAAGGTCAGCTTGCAGAACGCAATTGAGCAGGGCTCGATCGCTCTGGTCACAGAGAAGCAGGCGGGCTGGAAAGACACCCTACTGGCACAGTCACAGGGGCGCATATGAATGTTCTCAGAAGACACACTCGACAGGCCGGGGCGAGGTGGCTCGCGGCTGTGATCCTAGCACTCTGGGAGGCTGAGGTGGACGCATCGATCGGAGTTCGAGACCAGCCTGAGCAAGAGCGAGACCCCATCTCTACTAAAAACAGAAAGAAATTAATTGGCCAACTAAAATATATAGAAAAAACAATTAGGTGGGCATGGTGGCGCATGCCTGTAGTCCCAGCTACTCGGGAGGCTGAGGTAGGAGGATCGCTTGAGCTCAGGAGTTTGAGGTTGCTGTGAGCTGGGCTGACGCCACGGCACTCACTCTAGCCTGGGAATCACAGTGAGACTGTCTCAAAAAAAAAAAAAAAAAAGAAAAGAAAAAAAATCACAATGCAGGGAAGAAATCTGGATAGGACGGATACATTTTTTATTCTCGTTAATGACATATTTAACAGACAGGTTTTGAGACGTTGAGCTGTTTGAGTGCACACTGAAGATGGAATTGGGATTATGTGTACGGCTCACAGCAAGGTCTCGGCAGTGAACCTGAGATTTGAGAGATGGACCCGGAGGATGGATTGTCAGGGCCATGAGTTGTTTAAGGCGCCTGGTTTATGTTCATGTGATGAGCATTGCAGTATTGGTGACAATAGAGGAGAACAGGGCTGTCTTCTCCAGAGAAGACACCCAGCCGGGTGATAAGAAGCTTTTCTGCTTCCATGTTTCACGCAACTCGATTTGTCAGGAAGAGCTTCGATTCTTACTGCTTACCGACAGTGACCTGTAAATTTTGCCCAATACCACCTATTTTTTTTTTTGCCTTCAAACTATCTCTCTGTTAACATTCATATCCATTTTTTTTTGTATGAGTCCAAATTTTCAAATGTTATCACACTGAGTTGTGGGAGGGCCAGTCCTCATTATTTCAGGAGAAATGTCTACAATGAATAATCATTGAGAGTATTTTGCAAAATAACTCAGTGAAGCAGTAACGAGTAAAATAACTCAGCGAAGCAGTAAAAAGTATTTTCTTTTATGCAGATGTAATTAAGTTGCAATATTATTTTTACTTAAAAACAGACAGAGGTATATTATGGGGTGACATACGCATTTTTCATGAACGTTTAGGATGAAACACATGAGCTCCAAAAAGCATCTTAGCAGGCTGCTTTGTCTAACAGTCACTAGAGGTAGGAATTTATGCTCTTGTTCCCTTGCAGGAATTTTTGGTTGAAAAATTATAGAGCTTGCTGGAATAAGCTAAAAGCAATTCTAGTATCTTTCCATCAAAGCCAAAAATGTTCATTCGGCAAAGATTTAGTAAGACATTCTATGGATTAGGCCTCCCATAAGATACATTTAAAATTACAGAAAAGCCTTGCTTTCATCTCCTGGGGAGTTCTTTTTAAAATATTTTCTATAGTAATTAATTTCCCTTTAATCTCCACCATGATTTTAAGGAATTATTTCTCAAAAGAATTAAAACAACAAACTTAACTGCATTGCTGTTGAGAATTTCACCATTTACTCCAAGGAAAACACTGCTATCGGCATCACCTTAAATGTGTACAAACATCAAGAGTTGGTCAAGGCCGGGTGCGGTGGCTCACGCCTGTAATCCCAGCACTCTGGGAGGCCGAGGCAGGTGGATCACTTGAGCTCAGGAGTTCCAGACCAGCCTGAGCAAGAGCCAGACCCTGTCTCTACTATAAATGGAAAGAAATTAATCGGCCAACTAATATATATAGAAGAAATTAGCCGGGCGTGGTGGAGCATGCCTGTAGTCCCAGCTACTGGGGAGGCTGAGGCAGGAGGATCGCTTGAGCCCAGGAGTCTGAGGTTGCTGTGGCGAGGCTGACGCCAGGCACTCTAGCCAGCGTGACAGAGGAGACTCTGTTCAAAAAAAGAAGAAGAAGGAAGAAGAGGAAGAGAGAGGGAGGAGGAGGAGGGAGGGATTGGAGGGGCTGGCTCGGTCCTCGCCGGGCCTCTCCAAATTAAAAAATAATTAGGCGGGCGCTGTGGGCTCCGCGTATCTATCTTGGGAGCCGGGGAGCGTTGCTCAGGTAGGGTCACCAGGCTGAGCAGAGCGGAGCCTGTCTTACTATAATGAAAGAAATCAATGAACTGATTATTATAAAAAATTAGGGGCATTGGCATGCCTGTAGGTCCAGCTACGGGAGGCTGGGCAGAGGATCGCTGAGCCAGGAGTCTGAGGTTGCTGTGTGACCTAGGTGACGCACGGTCACCTCTATGCGGCAACAAGCGGATCTGTCTCAAAAAAAATTAAAAAAAAGCATATTAAAAAAAGAAAAGGAAGGAAAAAAAGAAGGATGGGTGTGTGTGGATATCTCCTGCCCGTCCCAACCCCAAGACGGGCTGCAGTTCCCGCGCGCCGGCCCGCAGGCTCACGCGTGTCCGCCTCCCCCACAGGCGTGAGCGAGGCCGAGCTGCGCAGCCGGGAAGTCCCCGCACTTCAGCGTGAACTGTATCCGGGGCACGCGACCTGGAGGTCGTGGACGCCACAACCGGGAGGAGGAGCTGCGGGGGCTCGTCCCGGCTCTGCAAGCACGCGTTCTCGCGCTGGGTGGCCGGGCTTCGGCAAGGTAGTCGTCGCCTGTCCTCTGGGGGGTCCGGCGGGCAGACGCGCGGGCTCAGGGGCGCAGGCCACCCCTCGCCCCGCGGTCAGGGGGCGCGGGACTCCAAGGCCGGTTCCCCGCAACCAACCGCAACCGGCGCACACCAGCAGCCCCGCGCTCCTCCAGCGCGAAGGCGGAGCCTCTTCGGACCTGGCTGGCGGAGCTCGTGCGTCTCTCTGCGTATGGTAGCGTAAATTAAGCCCACGGGGACTTTTTTAAAAATTTTTAATTTTTTTATTATTTTTTTTGATCTCCCTCATGTTGTGCCAGGCTGGAGTGCCGTGGCGTCAGCTAGCTCACAGCACCTCAGACTCCTGGGTCAAGCATCCTCCTGCCTCAGCCTCCCGATAGCTGGGCCTACAGCATGCACCACCATGCCGGGCTAATTTTTCTATATGGATTAGTTGGCACATAATTCTTTCTATATATAGAGACGGGGTCTCCCTCTTGCTCCGGCTGGTTTGGAACTCCTGACCTAGAGCAATCTACCCGCCTTGGCCTCCCAGAGTTCTAGGATTACAGGCCTGAGCCACTGCGCCCGCCTATTTCTTCTGTTTTTTTGTAGAGACGGTCGGCTTGCTCAGGCTGGTCTCGAACTCCTGAGCTCAAATGATCCTCCTGCCTTGGCCTCCCAGAGTGCTGGGATTACAGGCGTGAGCCACCGCACCTGGCCGACAGGGGCTTTGTGCAGTTGAAATTGTCCCCAGTTTAGATGTAAGGAAATTGACACTCAGCAAAGTTAGGTGATTTCTCCCAAATTATGTCAGGGTTAGAATTTCTCCCCGACCAGGAAGCCCGCACATTTCCACTACATCAGCCATTCGGAGCCTGTTTTCTCCTTCATAAGCAGGGATGGTAGCTACATTTCTAGGTTTTAAATTGAGATACATATTTATATGTGTTTCCAAAGCACAGCAGGTTGTAACCACAAAAACAGGTAACAGGCTGGGCTCACGCCTGTAATCCCAGCACTCTGGGAGGTCGAGGCGGGCAGATCTCTCAAGGTCAGATGGTCGAAACCAGCCTGAGCAAGAGCGAGATCCCGTCTCTACTAAAAAATAGAAAGAAATCAGCTGGACAACTAAAAACATGTAGAAAAAATTAGCCGGACGCGATGGCACATGCCTGTAGTCCCAGCTACTCGGGAGGCTGAGGCAGGAGGATCGCTTGAGCCCAGGAGTTTGAGGTTGTTGTGGGCTAGGCTGATGCCACGGCACTCTAGCCTAGGTGACAGAGTGAGACTCTGTCTAAAAACAACAACAACAAAACAGATAACAGAAAAACTAACCAACAAATAAAAAGCGTTCTGCTAATTTTTCTGGACTTTTTTGTCCAAGCAATGACTGCAAACAGGAACTGTAGTGTAGTGGTTTATTTACCAACAAGGAGAAGAACAGCATAGACATATGACACTTAACATAAGCATTTTTACCAACTCAGAAGACACTGAAAATTGCACATTTTTTGCTGTGAGCCTGGCAGCGGCTTCTGCCTCCTCCAGGAGCCTCTGAGGGTAGACTCAGGTCTGTGGCCAGCACCTGCGGCTGTCAGCCCCTGTCCTGCTCGCTCTCAGCCACTGCCCACGTCTCGCTCCTTCCGGAGACCTTGCAGGGTCAGGGAGGCACAGCGTCCACTTGCTAAACAAACGGGGCTGCTCCCTTTGCACACACTCGAGGTGGGGCTGACCCGTGGGCAGTCGGCCCCACGAAGGACCCTGGAGTCGGGTCCTGAGTCCCCGTGGGGCCCGTCCCACCCCAGGTTGGCCGCTGCCTTCTGCTGGCTGCAGAGCTTCACCTGCTGGGAACTCAGGAGCCGGGCGGGGAGACATCCAGCCCCACTGGTCTCCAGTGATGATACAACCCAAGCCCTTGCCCGTGCCCTGCCCGCCCTGGCACTGTGGCCCTGGCTCCTCACCCACTGAGTCCCTGCTTCTCCTTCAGAAAGAAAAAAAATACACCCCGTGTTTGTGTATTTAAAAGCAGGCAAGTTGTGTGCTTATTTTATTCCTCAATCCTACCTGCTTGGATTCCACCGCCTTTCCTGAGAGACCCTGGTCCCTCCCACTCCGGTTCCTCTTTGCAATGTTGCCATTTTGGTTTAACGGCTTCGGTACAACGCTCACCGGTCGCGACACCTCGCCCGCAGCCGGCACTCACAGTCCGCACGACAGTCTGCGCTGTGCATGGACGACGGGTCCGTTTTGCTCTTGTGTGAAGAGGAAAGCTTGAAAGCACTGAGAGCTTGTTTTACTTTGCAGGCGGCTTTACTTGTCATGTAAAACAGAACAGGTGACATAGACATATATGTTTCCGTTACATCATTTTTAAATGTTCACAATTTTATTTTGATAAATGAAAAATTAGAAAAGTCCAATCACGGCTATCGGCTACAGTCACTGTGTCCATTCATCTGTGGCTGTCAGCTGTGCTCGACGCTGGGCTGTGCGCGTCCATCTGTGGCTGTTGACTACAGTCAATGCTGGGCTGTGTGCGTTCATCTGTGGCTGTTGACTACAGTCATGCCAGGCTATGCACGTCCATCTGTGGCTGTTGACTGTAGTCGACGCTGGTACTGAAGTGGTTAAAGAGGGAGAGAGGGAAGAAGCCCAGACCCCATCTTCTGCCGGGACACCCACGTATTTCTCGCTGATTGGCTCTCTCTCCTTCCTGCCCACAGCTGAGCACACGGACCCCGAGCCTCGGGGACACGCCATCCACGTACTGCGAGGCCAAGCGGGGAGCGCACACCTACCAGGCTGTGAAACAGCAGCTGTTCAAGGCTTTCCAGAAGGCCGGCCTGGGCACCTGGGTGAGGAAGCCGCCCGAGCAGGACCAGTTCCTACTGACGCTCTGAGTCTCCGACCCCTCGGCCGCTCGACCAGAGCGAGGTGCCCGGAGGGGACGAGGCCATGTGTGTGGAGCAACGTGGCGTGTCCGTCGGTTCTCTGTATCTGTGTGCCCTGGTGTTCCCGACACACACGCGTGCTCCGTGTTTGGACAGGCAAGGAGGCTGGAATTCAGGGCGTGCCGCTTCCCCCGGATGGCTGGTGCCCAGGGTCCCCACGCGTCATGCCGGAGCCACCAGCGCTGCCCGGCGAGGTCCGTCTCCCCAGGGAGGGGGGTTCTCTGTCCGGGCGGGGGGGAGGGGCTGAGTCGTCGCCAGTTAGGGGTCGGCCTCAGGCACCGTGTCACACGCCTCCCTGGCGGCGCGAGTGGCGCGAGTGGGTCCCACCGGCACACACGTCACGGGGACACTTGAAGACAAGCCACAGTGAAGAGAAAAGCCATGGGCTCCCTCCCTCCCCAAGAAATCAGTGAGAAAGCCCCCGTTATTTTCACTGTTCGTTTAGGTTTTTTCACTCCACCTCCTTTCAAAGAACCCATTTACCATGCATGATATTAAAGAACACCCAAAATAGAACCAGAGAAACAGAAACCTTCCCCCGAGGCGAAGAAACGGCCGCCGGTGAGCTCAGATCAGTGACCTGAGGAAACCTGACCTCTGAACTTACTGCTCACGGAGCGTCCAAAACTGGCGCAAACCGACGCTGCCGTCTCGGCTCCCGGCCTCTCTGCAGGCAGGCGGGCTCAACGCCAATGCGTGAGCCGTACACGGGTCAGCTACCACCCTGCAGCCCCCCCCCACCAGGTAAATAAGGAAACCAAGTCCTTGACCAGATTCTGACTTTTTTAAACTAAATTTTTATTAGAAAGCAAGCACGCACCAAAAAAAATCAAAGCAAGCCTTCACTTTTGGCTTGAGCAGCTACCGGCAGGCTTGCTGTTCCTTTAGGTTCTCCAATCACCAGATTGCACACAGAAAAGGAAAAATTTGCTCGATTGAAGCAGCTGCCCAAATTCGGGAGGGGGGGACTCTATCCCCTGGGGAGCCAGAGTCAGACCCAGCTGGAGGCATGACCGCGGGGCTCCAGCCCACAGTGTCATGTCACTCCATAGTAGAGGTACCAGATTCACGCAGGGCCGAGGCCCTTGTCTAACACAGCTTGGGTCAACCCACATACCTTGAATTGCTTTAATTTCACCACTGGGAACTCATGTCTCACAATGCTCACGCTAGTTAGCAGGTCTCTAATTTCTCCAGTTAAAAAAAAATCAATATCCAAGATCCATTACGCTAAACAGCAGGGCGAGGTAGTCTGGCCACCTCTGCCGTGTGGGCTTCCAGGTTAGAATTCCGGCTGCCACCTGCCAAGAGACGCAAGGACGGCTTCACGCTGTGGCCATTCACGAGCTACAAACTACAGACGCCTCAACCGTAAGACAAAAACGAAACAAGTCGAGGCGCAGCTATCTGTTGCAAGATCATAAAAACGTAGAGATATTAGTGAGGAGATAGAAACCTTTCCTGGGATTTAATACAACACGAGGCCACATTTGTCCCTCGAGTGAGTTCTTCCAGGTGCAGGGGCCCTCAAACTTTTTAAACAGGGGGCCATGTTTATGTAAGATCACTTAAATGTCTATAAATAAAAAATATTAATAATAATAAAAAGATAAACAAGGGGCCAGTTCACTGTCCCTCAGACCGTTAGAGGGCCGGATTATAGTTTAAAAAACAACTATGAACACATTCCTATGCACACTGCACACATCTTATTTTGAAGCAAAAAAACAAACGGGCAAAAAAACACCCACATGTGGCCCGCGGGCCGTAGTTTGAGGACGGCTGTAATCTAGAGAAAAGGAAGTGGGCGCCGGGTGGGCGACTTCTTCGAGACCAAGTTTCAAAAGATAACGAAAATGCTTGTGTGAATGAACAAATTCATCTTCGTCTTTCAAAAAGAAAAAGAAAATGAGGGAACGAAATCTTAATTCCGTGCAAAAGCTAAGCTCGAACGGCCAGTGTATAGCCATTTCGAGTGTCTTGACATCACCGGCATGAAGCTCAGAGAACCGGAAAGAGGTGAGGGCTGGTTTGCAACCCCAACTCTCTCCGTCGAGGTACTGGGAGCTTCTCTGAGCGCGTTGGAGACACAACCGACCCCTGGCTGCGTCCGTGGCCTGAGCCTCACGTTACTAACACGGGGAGATGCCGGCGGGAGGAGTGCACGTGTGCTTTAGACCGCCGTGCCCAAATGACGCTGTTTCTGCGGTGAGGAGACTCTGGGGGTCCTGGCCATCGCAGGAAAGACACAGGACCTGACTCTAGCCCCTGGGAGGGCGCTCACCTCCCCCGTCGCGATAATCCTGCAATGCCTGAGTCACACGGCGTGGTCACGATTCACCTTGTCTAAGGCACCGGCTCTCCAGAAACAGCTCGCATTTTGCAAAAATATAAACATCTACTTTGGGGAAAGCCACACATGAACTCCACGCCACCTGTCAGCCTCAGTATGTGCATTAGTTTATGAAATCATCAGGAGACCCCTCAGAAGGGGAGATTGCAGACCTTCTGCTGCAGAGAAGGTTATAGCAAGGGGAGAGTTTTCAGTGCACACTGTGGCAGCCCTGAAGCTTCTGGATTCTGCGCCCGCCTCTCTGTTCAGAGGGACGTCCTAGCCCTGCTCCTGGGCCAGGTCTGCCCGCACGTTCAACGTCCGAATTAGAGACTTTCGAGAAGCGCACAGAGACCTCACCAAGTGAGGTTTCTCTAAGGAGAGCATTTGGTATACAAATAGACAAGGTGTAACTTTTAGTTAACCTGGAAAAAAATGACAGCAAAACAAAAGTCAGATAGAACATAGTCAGGGAATATGCAGGGATCTCAGTCACCCCATGTCCTTGTCCTTCTGAATTTGCCTCCAAATGGCCACCTCTGTGTCTCCCTGTGCTTCATACTGCCTGGTGGCCAAAGTCCTTTGTCCTCACATTTTCTGTGTTCTGTTTCCATGACTACTTAGCCCTACTGTGAAAGTCCAAATAGAACCAACCTCATCCTTGTTTGCCTCCAAAACACGCATTGCTTTACTACCGGGGCGGGGGGTAGCAATGTAAGGTTTCCTGCCTGGCTCTTAGTCAAAAAGTCAGCGTCTGGTTCTGCAGAGCCTTGCCACAGGACCCAGGGAAAGGCCATCCGGCAAAACAGGCTCTGCATCCATCTCCAGAACAAGGTTCCACAGCAATGCGCAACAATGTCAAGTTATTGAGTTTGGGATTTCTTGGGGTTTTGTTTTTGGCAAGGAAAGGGCTTGCAGGTCTGTAACTATCATTTCCTTTTCACTCTCGTGACTCTCTTTAGATCTGTATATACCCTTCTAGCCACGACTCATTCTGCCAGGAGGCTCGTTGCTCCTCAGAAGTGTCGAGCTCAGTTACTTTTCAGACAGATGCATAGCTCATATTTTTTCCACATAGCTTTCTGTTCACAGGAACCTGTTCTTATGAATAAAACTAAATGCTTATTTATTTATTTATTTATTTATTTATTTATTTATTTATTTATTGGTATAGTGTTTACCACGCCTGGAGAGCCATACACAGTAAATACATAGTATATCGATGCCCAGAATAGAATAGTTAGAGTATTTTGATGAAATCCTATTTTTAGATTATAAATTTCAAGAATGTGTCTATAGTATCTTGTTTTAAAAAAAAATTTAAAAGATATTTGAAACTTAGACATTTTTAATTTAGGGAAACTTATATACCCATTTTTTTAAGAAGCCATTCTGATAAAATAATCGAATTGGTCCAAAATACAATAAAATCACTTTCAAAGAGAGACCAAAGGGAAGTTAGAAGAAGCCTTTCTTTCTATGTACTACCACATGATCACTATGGCCATGTCTTTGGGCAGAAGTGTCACTCAACACTCAGCAAAACACACTGCCCGTTTCCTGGGTCCCCGGCCCCTCCCTGACAGAGTTTGCAGAGTCTGTCACTCAGCCCAGGATCAGGTGTGCAGAGTCCTGCACGGCCCAAAGGCTGTACCAGCTTTGAGTTTTTGCAGAGTTCAAGATTGTAAGTGGAAACTTAGAAGCTCCGCATTGCGGGAAAGGCTGTAGCTCGGACAGCTCTCAGCTGGGACAAACTGCCCACTGAGGTCTCGCTGGTATTTCCTGGGTCCCAGAGGCAGAGTTTCGGAGGTGGAGGGAGTGGGCCAGCAGTAGGACCACACAGGGGTGCAGGGAAGGGGGCTCCTGCACTGTCCGCGGTCCTGACCCCCTCCTGGATGGGGTCCCTGCGCTGTCCATGGTCCTGACTCCACGGGGGGGGGGTGCTGCGCTGTCCATGGTCCTGACCCCCTCCTGTATGGGGCCCTGCGCTGTCCGTGGTCCTGATGCCCCGGGGGGTTTAGTGTGCTGCGCTGTCCGTGGTCCTGACCCCCTCCAAGATGGAGTCTGCACTGTCCGTGGTCCTGACTCCAACCGGGATGGGGGAGGCTGTGCTGTCCATGGTCCTGACCCCCTCCTAGATGGAATCTGTGCTGTCCGTGGTCCTGACTCCAATGGGCGGAGGGGGGGGTCTGCACTGTCGGTGGTCCTGACCCACTACTGGGTGGGGCCCTGTGCTGTCTGTGGTCCTGACCCCCCCAGGCCCCCTCCTGGATGGGGTCTTTGTGCTGTCCGTGGTCCTGACCACCTCCTGGATGAGGTCTGCTTTGTCTGTGGTCCTGCCCTCCCATGGGGTCTGCACTGTCCGTGGTCCTGACCTGCTGCTGTATTGGGGGGGCTGTGCTGTCCATGGTTCTGGCTCATCCTTGCAGCTGCAGTTCGGCTGTTCCTGGGAAGTCAGGGATGTTGGTTGTTCCTGTCAAGCTTCTCCCACAAATTCTGAATCACATAAAGTAGAGGGAGGCTGCGGGCACGTGAGGAGACAGAAACAAAAGTACAACAGGTGCTGGCGCTCGGACGATGCCTGTGGAAGTTGGAGGGAGTTTTGCTCCCACCTGTTTCTGGGAAACCCGCCACTCTGCTCACTCCCAGAACAACCCCACTTCTTGGTTCCATTTCTCTTCCTTTTCTCTCCCTCCCCTTCATTCTGCCTAACTCATCGTTTTAAAAATCAAAGCTGGAAGGATGATGCCTCACCTAAAAAGAAACATAAGTTCCCGGGGGGGATTCCAGTGCCTCTTGTCTCACAGGCCCTCGACTTCTGCCTCTCTGCAGGACACGCACTTGTTAAAAAACAAAAAAAACTTTCCCAGCAGTGCCCAGTTAATTTTCAGCATTTTTTAAGCAAAATGAACTTGATACA